CGCGGAAGTAGAGCGTGCATCCGCGAAGCGTACGCCTGACTCGCGCGCTCTCGTTCCGACCTGGACGTCGAGCACGGCCGCGTATGCACGGAGTAATCGTCATCTTCAAGCCGTTCATCGTCGGGTGATGGGTGAGGGTCCACGTGCCGAGAAAGGCGTCGGGGTCGGACTCCGACGCCTTGACCACAGACTCATCGGCGGGGAAGGAGGCGGAGGCGACGCCCGGACGAGGCGGCGTCGGTGGCGGTGGCAATGGCGGCGGCGCACGGCCGGTTTTGCAGACGGCGGCAGCGACGAGCGTCAGCATATACACAAATGCAAACACCTGGCGACAAAAGGCGTCTCATATCCGCGACATTTTTTTTCTGCGATGCGTTCAAAGAAAAGTTCTTCTCAATAGCAAGGAGCTATGAAGCGCACACACAGCGGGGGGGGGGGGGGGTGATCGGGCTGCGGGCAGGAGAGCCCTTACCCCTTATACTACACAAAATAAAGAGAACCGCGTTTTCCCGCTTGAAATAAAGAAAACACACTCCGGCCGGCCGGTGCAACAAGTATATGCCAGCCCGCGTCAGCGCCGCGCGCCGCAAGCCGCCGCCTCTGCGCCGCCTCCGTGCAAGCATTCGGAAGGCCGCCTGGGATGGCCAAGTGGGAGCGGTGCTGGCGTGGCTCGACGGCGGCGGGCGGGTCGACGAGACGTTCTCTAGGGCGCCAAGTGGGAGCGGATGGGCGAGAAAGAGAAAGAAAAGGAAAAAGAAAAGCAAGCCCCGCCGTGCAAAGCCAGCGCGGGAGGAGGCGCTCGCCCGTCCGCAACCCCGCCCGTTTGCATGCCCGGCCGAGCGAAGGCTGGCTCGGCCGCCTCCCGGCGCGGGCACGCTTCTACGGCGGCTACTGCTGCGCCGCTCGCGCTGCCGAAAAGGATCGAGGCGGCGGCGGCGGACGGCAAGGTGGGCGTGGTGCAGACGTGGCTCACCGGGGATGGGCGGGTTGATGCGACGTGCGTGCGTCGCGGTGTCAGTGGCTGTACGCTCCTGCTGATCGCCGCCGAACACGGTCACAAGCAGCTCGTTGAAGTGCTGCTGAAGCGCGGCGCGGAGGCGGACGCGCGAGACAGCGAAGGCAGTTTTTCGCTGATGGCCGCCGCCGCCAACGGCCACGAGCGCGTGGCCGAGATGCTGCTGCGGCACGGCGCGGAGACCAACCTGCAGAGCAGCGAAGGAGGCACCGCTTCTGATGCTCGCCGCCCTCGGCAACCATCCCGC